AGTTCACGAAGAAAATTCTCTCACTTCATTGATAAATGTCATCTCGACATCTCCTTTGCGGTGCTCTGCAGTGTATGGCCCTTCAAGATTTGTTCTCTCACAGAAAATAGCATCTGATACAAAAATAGCTTTTTGAGGTGCGGAACAATTTGTTCTTGCCCTTGTAGCTTGCATTAGCTGCAGCGGAGGACGTACACTTGGCTGAAAACAAGGGATCAAGATTTTGATGCACTTTCTGAAACGCATGCGCTAAACTGGTAAATCCATTCTTCTTAGTCGATTCTTACTTATTTTGATGTTCTATTTCGTTTCGTTAGTCTGTTTAACAAATGTTTTCTAATTACCTTTTGCTCCTGCTTTATCTTTTCTATCTGGGCTGTTCCAATATCTGTGACCGTATCAAGGGAAATAGTGCCATCAGTCTGGAAGGAGAGTTGCCCATTTAATTATTCGGTCATGTTGATGTGTACTCACTTGAGTATAAACAGACAGTATATCGTTTTGAAACTCTATCGGTGGCTCTTCGGGTAGTATAGTTACCTTTTTCTCCTGAAATACCTTTTGAGCCTGCACATTATAAAGAGAAAAGCCGAAATCTGACGACGTCTGAAGAAATATTTGTGTTGATAAGCACTACAGAAGCACAGATGAAATAACGTTTAAGACATCTCTTTGTACAAAATTTTTCAGCTTCTGGTTTTTTCAACCTTGCCCAAGCACGACGAAGTTAAATGAAATTTTTCAATCAGATTCTTGGTATGAATGGGCCCCCTGTCTTCCTCATAAGGCTTTTTCCATAGTCTTTAAGCTCAATATTGAAGATTTATGTGAAATTTTTCACATTGGCACTAAAGCGTGCACGCTGCAAAAAGTTCAAAGTTGTCAAGAAATAAAAGTAGCAAATTCCCAGTTCAGAGTATTGTCCGCTTGGAACTAAACCGAATGAACTAAAAATTGAGTAGAATATGTTACAATTTTACGCTTTCAGAGAAGTACCGGAGGCAACTTGCTTGCTGACAAATATAAGCAAAATTAGTATGATTGTTTGCTCCTTATTTACTACTGCTGTTACTTCCACCTACAAAATGGTCATTTACTGTCGAATGATTTGATAAAATTAGCGAAAAAAGGCCCGCCTTAACGATCTTGCGAGATACTAATAATAGGGCGAGAAAGAGGGAATGGACGAGCAA